TGATATCTTAGGAGTGTACCTACCGATGGTACAGGGGTGATATCTTAGGGGTGTACCTACCTATGGTACAGGGATGATATCTTAGGGGTGTACCTAACGATGGTACAGGGTCATGGTACAGATGGTACAGATCATGCATGATCTTCCATGAATCTTGCTAAGATGTTCAACCTGGGTTAGACCGCTTACTGCATACCTTGTTTCTGTTTTATGAACTATGGGGACTTAAGGAGTACAAGGAACTAGTTGTTCTTACATGGTAATGATAGGGGCCACACTATCAAGGTTTGCAATTAAGATTCCTATCTCAGCAATACAGCATGTCAGTAAAAGTGCTCTGGTTGGTTCACCAGACTTTGATCCCACTGCAAAGATATTTAGGAATGGAATGATGTTATCCCTGGCAATGGCTTGCAGTAGTCGAGGWGCACTGTTGAATAGAAACAACTATAAGGTTGAAAAGATGGTATCAAAAAGGTAGCAATCTGGGATAGCTGAAATTTCAGTCATCGCTGAATCAGGATATTTGAATATTTAAAAAAATAAGTACCCTGTCAAGCTTTGCATTCCCGCACCAACAGTTGACAAGAATGAACCAATCAGAATAACCCATTTGGTTGGCCATGCAATATTAGCTACCACCATAACACTACCTATACTACGACCAAACCTACGAAAAACAGGAGTTAAATTCATGTTGTACTGCATGGATGTAACAAGCGTTTTTCAATTTAGAGGAAATAAAAACAGAGGTGCATAAGTAACACTATGCCTTACRATGCAAGTCTGGACAGTGAGTGATAATAAATAACCTACTTGTCTCTTAAAAGAGGACCTTCTATGGTAGCACCAAACAGCAAAACAGATGTCAAATCTGAATGACCAGTCAAGGTAGTARAAAACTTTCATATTCAGAAATTACATTTCAATTGATAGAAATTTGCATTAATTAATTAATTACATTTATTAAGCCATTAAATGGGATACAAACAAAGGATGTAGTTGCTATAGCAGCTATAGTTCCTTTAGGAATAGATTGTTGAGCATCTTTAAGGTCTCCTGACCTGTTTGAGCCAGCCATAATACCTAGAAAATATACCAGAAATAACATTAGCCAGGTAGTATTCAGTCTAACATTACCAAATGACACACTGTCTT